AATGCTAATAGCAAATAGGCATTATTTATTTGGTAAGTATTTATTAAACATCTAATCAAGTAAGCTAATACACAGATTTTATTAAAAATGTTTTTTGGGAGAGGGAGGGGCAAGATGGCTGACTAGAGACATCACTTGCCAGACTGTGCTGGAGAAGAAGGATTTCAGATAACGGAGACGGGAGAGGGATGCAGCTCAGGTGTAGACAATAGAAAGAAGTGCCGGAGCCTGCCAGGGACCTCATGGAGGAAAATTCTGAAGAGAAGGAAGAGGATAATGGAAAAAATGGAAATCAGGGAGGATCAAATCCAGAGGGGGTCAGAGCCCAGTAAAGGGGTAAGAGGGAATCCCTTTTTCTCTCCCACACTCTTTCGGTGATCAGCGGGCTACCAAGTTACTTGGAAGCTTTTCCACTCCCACAAGCCCAAATACTGCAGCAACCAAGTAATTGCGGGGGAACTTGCCTGATGCCAAAGCTCGGACATTCTTTGTGGGGCTGCCCTCCAAGGAGAGTGACTCAAGAGGAGGGAGAGCAGGCTTTCTTCCATTCAGATTCTTATCTTTCCCTGCCCCTCCACCACCCACTGCAACTGGAGAAGAGTTTGAGCCAAGAATTTCGCCAGTTGCCACCTCTCCCCAGCTGGCGCATCCTGCAGTTTGAGGTTTTCACAGAGAGTGGCCCACGCCTTTCCCTATGAGGGCCTGTAGTGGACCTGGGGTACATGATTTGGGAGCTCCCTGCCCACCAGTGTTTCTTGGAGACTCTTGCCAGCCAATGGGCCAGACACACAGGCCAGATCCCATGCCCCCAGGACACAAGCATGTCACTGGGGCACACAAAAGGGAGGTTTGGGAGCTGGACTTGGGAGGCAAAAGAGCCCACATGGGTGAAACTGACAGGAGAATACTGTGGGGGTCTAAGACACAGCAATCTGGGAGAGCACCCATCTCCCCCCACGGAAAACCATGCTGTTGGGCTAGGGTGGGTCCTCCAGCAGGGAAGATGGCAGCCCATAGCACCACAGTAACCAAGTACTGTGCATTCAGGCACCTTAGGCTGTCAGGGAATTGTGGTCCCTTCCTCACAAGCAGTCTTCCTGGTCTGGAGAGTCTGCCTTGACCCTCCTCCCAGTGGCTCACCCTAGAGGCTAAGAAAACCACCTCTGAGCCCTGCCAAGGTTTTACAAAGCCATGGAGGCTAGCACAACCTAACCACACTCTGCCTGGCTCCTCCATCTAACCCTGTTGTGGTGGAGACCAATCAACCCCCTGGGAGCTACAGGGCCTTCCCAAAGCCTGGGGCATTCAAATACTCCACCTGGAGGAACTAGAGTTTATCCCAGGCACAAAAGATCATCTCCACAGTTGGCTCTTTCCTGCAAGCATCAACCACTCACAGGGAGAACAACTCTATAGCTCATTGCGGCACCTACCAACTCAATCAAACAGGGCGGGGCTAATTCTTACAAGCATCACCCATCATATTAGAGACTACGTTGGGGTGCCAATACAATTCACACTGATGCAAAGAGGTAAAGACAGCAGGATAGAGGCAACTTGAGGTGACACTGACTTTTAGGAGAGAAACAAAAGTTACAGGCAGCTTGATCTCTGAGGTGTCTCCCTCTTCCACTGCAGACCCCTGGGCTGACGGAAAGCTACTATGAGTCTGCACAAAGACATTCCGCCAGAGAGCAGGTGTGGCAGAGATCTGGTGCCTGCCAAGCCCAGGTTTCTGAAACCAACGACACCTGATCATTCTGGTACAGAAAGCCAGGTCTGCTCAGAACCCAGCCTTCCAGCAACAGCCTTTGCATCACCCGTGCTGGGCTTGCAGGGGAACAGAGGCTCGCCTGTGTCTTGCCCTGTGACTGTGGACTGAGCAGAACTCCTCCCAGCATGGGAAGCGAACAGAAGCGGAGCCTCAGATGCCACAGGAACCACTTGGGAACCCTGAGGCTATGCCTCAGTGGGTCTTAGGTGCTGGGGAAGAACCTTAGCCGACTAGAAGCCCCGACCAGTCCACACGGACTCTGAGCCGCTGAGACAAACCCTTGCCTGCTCAACTGGACATCATCAGTCCCCACACTGGTGGAACAGTCACTATATGGGCAGCTCAGCCCCAGAAATCCCCAGAGCCAGCACTGAAACCATCACTGTGTTAGAGTCCTGGGCTGCCGCCAGGCCTGCAACTCCACCTCAGAGATTCCAGAGTTGTGCCTGGTCCCCAAGACAACATTACTGAGTCCCCACCACTACCTCTGGGTCAGCAGAACATCCCTGAGGTCCAACGCTTCACTCAGGACTCTCCACCCGTGAGCAGCAGTCACGCCTGGAATTGGTTCAAGATAGAGTCCCCAGTAAAGGAGAAGACATAACAATCCTAAACATATATGTACCCAACACAGGAGCTCCCAAATACACAAAGCAAATTTTCCTAGAGCTAAGCAAAAAATAAATAGCGCCATTGTAATTACCAGGGACCTCAACACCCCACTGTCAGAGTTCAACAAATAATCAAAGCAGAAAATAAATAAAGAAACAGTAGACTTAAACCAAACTCTAAATCAAATTGATCTAACAGACATTTACAGAGCATTCTACCCCAAAACTACAGAATACACATTCTTCTTAGCAGCACATGGGATATTCTCCAAGACTGATCATATCTTAGGCCATAAAACAGATCTCAGCAAATTCAAAAGAACCAAAATTATACCACGTACTTCTCAGACCACAGCAGAATAATACTAGAAATCAATCATGAGAGAAATACTAAAACATATACAAAGTCATGGAAATTAAACAACCTGCTGCTGAACGATTACTCGATCAAGAATGAAATTAAGATGGAAATCAAAAAATTCTTTGAACTGAACGACAAAGGGGACACAAGCTATCAAAATCTATAGGACATGGCAAAAGTACCCCTCAGGGGAAAATTCATATACTTCAATGTCTACATCAAAAAGACAGAAAGATGACAAATTAACAATCTAATGGCACACCTCAAGGAACTAGAAAAGGAAGAACAAACCAAACCCAAAGCCAGCAGAAGAAAAGAAATAAGGAAGGTAAGAGCAGAACTAAATGAACTGGAAAACAAAAAAACGATACAAAAGATTAACAAAATGAAAAGTCCAAAAATAATAGTTGCTGTCATGGATACAGAGAGAAAGGAACACTTATACAGTGCAAATTAGTACAACCTCTATGGAAAACAGTGTGGAGGTTCCTCAAAAAACTAAAAGTGGACCTACCATTCTATCTAGCAATCGCACTATTGGGTATGTACCCAAAGGAAAAGAAAACTTCTCATTAAAAAGACACCTGTACTAGATTGTTTATTGTAGCACAATTCACAACTGGAAAGATGTGGAATAAACCCAAGTGCCCATCAATTCTTGAGCGGATTAATAAAATGTGTGTGTGGGGGGGTGTGCGTATGTGTGTGGATATACACACACACACACACACCATGGAGTACTACTCAGCCAAAAAAAAGATGAATTAATAACTTTTTGAACAGTCTGGATGGAACTGGAGACTATTCTCCTACGTGAAGTATCTCAGGAATGCAAAACACAAACACCACAGGCACTCACTATTAAATTGAAACTTAATCAAGAAGTGCACAAGTGCACAGAGGGAAGTTAAACTCAGTGGAAATCAACCAGAGGGGCGTGGAGAGGAGGGGAGGGGAAAAAACCAATCTAATGGGTACTAAGAACACTGTTTGGGTGATGGGCACTCCTATAGCTGGGACTCAAAAATGATACATGTAACCTAAAACATTTGTACATCCTTAATATTTTTGGGAAAAAAAAATCTGTTGAAATAATAAAAAAAA